GGCTAATAGCCATTGATAGACCAATCACAAAGGATCCTTGCTCCATAAATGGGGCTCCTAAATGCTACATTAATGCAAATAATACTTCATTTACACAAGGCTTTTCAAGTAAGGGTCCTTTACTAGGTAGATAGTTTTCAGTTCCCACGTAGGGAACTTAGGTGCACAAAAACTTAAGGGACATGCCCACCACCAGAAAACCTATTTTCCCCTAGTCTGTGCTGCTCCATCCGCTAGCCTCGTTGCTTTAAGTTTACCATTTGTTTTCACTTAAGCTATTCATGCAGCTTCATTGAATTACGCATATGATTGGTAAATGCAACTATAAGATTTTGGGGAGGGTCTTCTGACAGAGTAAAAGAAAATGGAGTCAAAGAGGTAAAAGCCAGTGATGGCACAGCCAGCAGTTGTAGTTTAGTGGATAGAGGGGTCCCACAGGCCCCTACCACCTGCTTTCAGAATAAGGAACCATTTATTTCTGAGAATTTTTTTAAAGTCTGTCCCTTTCACAATGCTAGAATTAAGGTTGGGTCAGCTTTTCCATTCAATCCATTTTTCAAGCATCTATAAATCATAAACTTTCTTTGTCCATGCATTTTGCTTTTATGAGATTAGAAGCAGATTGAGCTTTAAACAAAGAAATGTGTCTGGCCATTTAAGTTTTAAAAGTGCAAATGCAATACAAGGCACTTATCAATACATCCTGCTTTTGCTTAGGGCATGAGGATTTTCAGACAGATTTGCAGATGATTATTTCATAACAAAGATGGTCTCCTTTGCACTTTTTAAAGGGGTGTTAGAAATGAATTTGTGTTAAGTAATCTATTTCACATGCAGAGAGGTTTGAGCCTCTGAGATTTCCATAAGTATTTGCAACATACAGTCTTACTTTTATGCCTAGTTCCTCTCATTGACTAAGGAGGCCAGACAACTTCCAGAGATGCTTTGAATTTTTTCCGGTTACTGATTTCCCAAAAATGATTTATAGAAATATGTAATCAGTGTGTAGGTGGCATGTGTGTGAGTAATTGCAGGTTAAGAAATGTTAAAAGATATGTTGGTCTAGGGTGGTTATTACTCTAGCTAAGCTCAGCATCAGGAAGAACAGGGAGCAAAAAGATGCTGCCATCAGACTGGTTCTTAAGGTTGGTCTAACATTTGCCCTTTTCTTCAAGGGGCAGTTCAAAGAGCCAGGGACTTCTGGAGCACGGAGGGAATCCAGCCACACTCCCTTTCTCCCTGGATTGCCCATTACACTAGAGGCAGTAAAGCAAGAGTGGCGTAAAGTTGCCATGGCAGGCCCAAAGCTCTGGCATGACATGTTTAAGAATTCTTACTTATAATTATCATTCTGAGCGAGTCTGTGTGATTTTTGTGTGTGTACTTTTCCACCATTCTTCTCTGTTTTATGCTTCCTTAGGCTATTTCGATACTAGTCAAAATAACACTGAAAGGGAGTTGTTTATTGCTGCTGTAGGCTTCCCTTCAGCAGAGACCTGCCACTGCTGACCCTTGTTCTAGTGTGTGCACTAAATTAACTCCAAACCCCTCCCTTTAGGTCTTCTCTCCCAAGGGAGCAACTGCTTTGAAGAGTAATCCCGTCAACCTGTCATACTGAGTCCCGGAAACACTGTTACTATGGTTACTTTTCCCAATTCAACTAGGGGCTCTGGCACTCATGCTGCAGCCAGTTGAAAACTTAACCCTCCCTCCAAGAACTCACTGAACTACAGGGCTAGCTTCTCCATTGATTACTGCTCTGAATCTTGCATTTGTCTTTACCCATTTCATTCCTGTATATGGTCATTTTTAGTACAAGTCTCACTGTTTAAAAATGCTTTCCTGGAATCCAGATAATTTGTTGAATATCAACAGATGCATTAGAAAAGGAGTTGGAAGAATTTAGCATGCACTTTGAGCAGTACTGTGAATTTGTCATTTTTAACAGAAATGAGTTTGAGCAGTGACCAACAGTTCCCACAAGGTCAAGATGGGTCTAGAGTTTCAATTTGGATGTGCTAATTTTGAGGGACCCAAGTTTTGTCATTTACCTTTGTCTAGGCCATGTATTGGTTGAAACAATAGATATTACAGTAAGGTGTGTATGTTAAAATGCATATAGTAATGTCCAATTCACTGAGATTTTTTAAATTCAACATTATCTCCATATTGGCCAAAGACTGGAATGATTTTTTACACAAAAGTCCTCATTGTAAGCACAAATCCTACGAAATAAAGCCTATGCCACTAAATTAATTTTAAATTTTGTTTTGGTAAGGTTGTTTAACATGGTTAGGCAAGAACAGTGTTTTCAGCATCTTATGACAGCAATGTAGACTATTCTTTTATAGAGGATTTTTTAAAAATCCTATAGTTTTTGGGTGTGTCTTATCCCCGTGGTGTACAATGTGCTAGCCACTAGCCTCATGTGGCTGTTTGGCTGGTTGAATGTGACTAGTTTGCTTGAGAACTGGTTGGACATCATGGCCTTAACCTATGCGTCAATCCTTCAACTGATTTGCAAAAACATAGCTAGACTGTGAACTCATATGGGTGAGGAGCTAAGCTGTGGAGGAAAGTTGGTTCTGTGGTTTAGGCCACTAGCCTTAAAGCTGGAAAATCAAGGTTTAATTCCCTCCTCTGTGACAAACTTCATAGGTGATCTAGGACTTACCTACATGGCACAACAGTGCTGTAACTTGTGTAGCACTAATGATCCTGATCCAGCTGGCATGAACTCAAATGTGTCTAGTGCATGTTAACATAATACTGCTCTCTATAAACTAGGTTGAATATTTTGCCCTTTCCCGGGGGCGGGGGGGAGAGTGAGGATGAATATGTTAAAGATTTTAAAAATTTTAGATACAATGGGAATGTTATTTGTATAATCCTATAACAGATGA